GGCTCTGCTGCAGGCCTTCAGTTTTGAAGCAACCAAACATTCCAACAGAAATTGACCCCACTGTGTCTTATTGTCAGAGGAAACAACGCTCAAACCATTCCTGCTGCCACAAGTTAGGTACTAGATATAGCCTACAGGTGTCAAACAACATGTAAAGGAAATGCTCCTTCCACTTCCTAAACTTGTCTCAGCCTATTGGAGAGGGCCTGGGAAGAGAGGGATTCGGCATGAGTGTGAAGGAGTCTGGAGTCAGCTTCCTCACTTGTAAAGCAAGATCCATATACTTACCTACTTCATTGACTCCTGAGAACTAACTGAGGAAAAGTGTGAATGCTTAGAAAACTGACTACTACAGAGTATGCATTAGGTAACGTTAGATGCTTTTATTATCATTATTTTACAAAATTATAGTAGTATGAACTTGAAAAACAGGAATTTGCTCTTCTCCAGCCACAGTAACACTGTTTTTGCAGCAAACTCATTTCTCTCTCTCTGCCTTTGCACTTGTTGCTCCCTCTGCCTGAAACGTTCTGCTTCCAGCTCTTGGTTCATTCCAGTCTCTCAGCTCATGTGCCTTCCCTGACCATCCAAGCTGAAGTAACCATCCCTTCCTCACCACCAGCTCTGCCCCATCATCCATGCTCTAGACCAGTGATGGCGAACCTATGACACGCGTGTCAGAGGTGACACGTGAACTCATTTATTTGGTTGATTTTTCTTTGTTAAATGGCATTTAAATATATAAAATAAACATCAAGAATATGTCTTTGTTTTACTATGGTTGCAAATACCAAACAATTTCTATATGTGACACAGCACCAGAGTTAAGTTAGGGTTTTTCAAAATGCTGACACGCTGAGCTCAAAAGGTTCGCCATCACTGCTCTAGACCCTCCCCCTCTCATTTCACCCACTATACTTAAAACCATCTGAAATTACCTTATTTTGTCTCCCTCGCTAGAATATAAACCCTAGGAGAGCAAAGAGTTTGTCTGTCTTGTTCCCTGACTAGGGTTTATGCTTTTAACCACTATGCTACACTGCCTATGTACCAGGATGCTCAATGGATGTGTTTATGAAAGTAAAATCCCCCAAACAACCTAAATGTCCAGCAATAGAAGAAGGGTGGAATAAAGCATGGTCTCTCCATGGTGAGAAGAACGTGAGTCTAGCAGTTAAAAGAATGAGTCGGGTCTGTGTGTAACCCGACTAAGGGAGATGCCCTGTCAGTAATCGAAAAACTCAAGTTACAAATATATGTGACTTGACCCCACCCTCCTTTTTGGGAGTGAGAGGGAGAAGAAGCAGACAATCAATAATGTGCATATACATCCCTTTAAGCACAGAATAAGGAGAGCGAATCCACCCAAATCCCCAAGGGCAGAGTGCATATCCATTTTGTTCACTACTAAATCTCCAAACCCAAACAATAAACACTTAATAAATACTTGCTGTTGGAATGAATGGCTATCCCTGGAGGAGGGAAATTAGAGTGGAGGGTGGCACCCATTATTTTCCTTATACATCTCTGTATTGTTTGACATAGTATTGCAATGAGCATGTATTTCTTTGCATAACTTTTTAAAAGTCAAATTCTACCCATTCTCACACACATAAATTAAGGCCATGAGCAGGGCAGTCCTAAGAAACAGGAGCAATACCAGTCTTATGGAAAGCTAAAAACAACCACTTTACCTTAAAGGAAATGACTGTTTAATTCTTTTATTAAAAGACAAACACATATCCTAGCTGGTTTGGCTCAGTGGATAGAGAGCATCGACCTGCGACTACAGGGTCCTGGGTTTGATTCCAGTTAAGGGCATGTACCTCGGTTGCAGGCTCAATCTGATCTCCAACCCTGGTTGGGGCTCATGTAGGAGTCAACCAATCAATCTGTCTCTCTCACATCAATGTTTCTCTCTCTCTCTCTCTGTCTCTCCCCCTGCCTTCCACTCTCTCTAAAAAAATCAATGGAAAAATATGCTGAGGTGAGGATTAACAACAAAAAAGAACAAACCAAATAAATAAGAAAATAAAATGATTTGGCAAATTTAAAAACAATTAATTCAGATTTTGTGAGTTAAACACATAACAAGGTTAAGCTGTTATCATAACCTGGGTCATTTTTTAAACCTCTGAAATATATCAGAAAAATGTGCTTTACAGAAAAAGGGCACCAATTACTGCACTTCTAAATTCCATTTTTTTACTTACCTAACAACTGCAATGTCTGAAAAACAAGCTCACATTTAAATCTTAGACCAGTCCACAAATTGCTAAAAAACCATGTGTTGTCCCTAATAATTAAGAACAAACATTTTTTAAATGTCACTACTTTATTTCCTCAGATTAAAAAACATTTAGGTAAATTTGATGGCCATTACAAATTTAATTGAAACCACGGGTTCCCAATAATGGGTTTCTGACAACAGGCTCAACCTAAATGGGCATCTAATAAATTCCCTTCCCAGTCTGTTTCCAGTGTGCTGCCTCCTGAAATGCTAAGTAGGGCCACCTTCCCATACAGAATATTCTAACTTGCTGACAAGGTATGACTTTTTAGAAAGAAATGAACAATTCAGACAAGCTTTGCCAGGCTAAAACTGTAGAAGTGGGTCCCCTGAAAGCAAAGCCTTGACACCACACCTGTTGCCATTGCAGTCTGGCCAAATCTGTATTGTCTTCTCTGTTCCTCACTAATACAATGTTGCACATACATTAATCCTTGGCAACTTCAAAGAAACAACTCAACCTAATCGGAAAAGGCCACCAGTGGCTCAGGAGGACTTTCAGTATCCATGAGATGGGAAACCAAGGTTCGCCAAAGAAATGATGTTTCCTGGAAATGGCAGCTCAATCCTTCTTGCCCATCAATTAGACCTGGGAAGGCTGGGAGAGAAGAGCAACTTCCAAGTTTCTGGCTTGGGCAATTGGGTCAATGTTGGCCCATTTGCCAAGATGGTGACTACTAGTTCTGGGAGAAGAGGTTTAGACTGAACATGTTGAGTTCATAGTACCCAAGGGACAAGTCACCAGGGGACATCAAGGAAGCACAGGCATCAAGGAGCTCAGTGGGCTAGTATAATTTTGAAACAAAGTGCTGACAGAACTGGGATGGTCATAAAACACTGGAATGAATGTGCTGACTTGGGGGGAAGAGTGTATGAATGAGCAGGACTCTTCTCAGGTCCTTATACTGCAGTATGTTCCACAATTTAACCTTTAGTGAACAAAAATGGGGGAGAGGGGGGGAATAACCTCGTTTCTGCTCTGCCCAATGAGGCAGCAGCAAAGGTCTATCAAGAAAAACAAGATAGCCCTAACCAGTTTGTCTCAGTGGATAGAGCAGCCGTGGGCAAACTACGGCCTGCGGCCGGATCCAGCCCGTTTGAAATGAATAAAACTAAAAAAAAAAAAAAAAAAAAGACCATACCCTTTTATGTAATGATGTTTACTTTGAATTTATATTAGTTCACACAAACACTCCATCCATGCTTTTGTTCTGGCCCTCCGATCCAGTTTAAGAACCCATTGTGGCCCTCGAGTCAAAAAGTTTGCCCAGCCCTGGGATAGAGCCTCGGCCTTCGGACTGAAGGGTCCCAGGTTCAATTCAGGTCAAGAGCAGGTACCTTGGTTGTGGGCACATACCCAGTAGGGGGTGTGCAGGAGGCATCTGATCGATGTTTCTCTCTCATCGATGTTTCTAACTCTCTATCCCCCTCCCTTCCTCTCTGTAAAAAATCAATAAAATGTATGTTTTAAAAAGAAAAAGAAAAACAAGATACATTCAGTGCTTACTATGCACCTGGCCCGGTGCTTAACACTAAACATTAATTATCTCCTGAGATCATCAAAACAAGCCTGGCTCAAAAGTCCTATGACTGCCACTTCACAGATGGGATACTGAGGCTGGAAGTGAATGTGGGGAGGAGCTCAGGGCTGTCATGTCACAGCCCACAGTCAGGCAGCCTCTGGACCAGATGGAGAACACTGAAGAAAAATAATTATTCTACATAAGAGCTGTTACTTAGTGAGAGAATACAACCTCAGCAAATCCTTACAACCCTCTGAGGCTGATATAACAAATGAGGAACGTGAGGCTGCAGGAAAGGAAGTAAACTAGACCAGTTGTGAATCTATCCCAATGGGGAGACCAAGGCTATAGCCAGAGCCCAAACCTCAAAGTGTCTCTGGGGCACTGGAAAAACGCTGAATAAAAGGGACCATTTAGTGAACGCTATGTGCGAGGTGCTGCTCTACGTACTTTACACATGGTATTCACATTGCATCCTCAAAACAACTTTATGAGGTAACTATTAAAATCCCCATTTTATAGATCGGAAAACCAAGGCACACATTGGTGGAGTCAGTTCACAAGGTCGCACTGCTGGTAAATGGAAGAGCCTAAATGTGGTCTCTCTGCCTCCCAAACCAAAGCTCTTAACAAAATAATTTCAGCCAACTCTGCATTGACTGCTAACTATGGACTCCGCTTTTCACACGCACACCCTCAACTAATCCTATGCGGTTGCTAACACCTTCACCCCATTTCTCCGGAGCTAACAATAGCGCAAACACGTAATAAGTGCCCTCTGTGTGCCAAACGCTTTACTCGCCAGATCTCAACATCTCAAAAGAATTCCCAGCGAGGGGCAGATCCTCTTCTCCCCCCATTTTACCGAAAGGGGAAACTGGGGTTCGGCACGGTTTCCCTAGATCGAAGCTCCGGGGAGTGGCAGAGCCAGGACGCGAACCCACTGCACCCCGACTCCCACTTCATGCTCTTCCGCACAGCGCCGGGTAGCACGTCTAGAAAGTTGAGCCATGCGGATACGAGTCCTTCCAGGTACGGAGGACGCGAGTCCTAGCGCCGCCGCCCCAAAAACTGGTGCCCACACCCGGCCGGCCGCCAGCCCTCAGAGCACTCCCGCTCCCGCTCCAATAGACACCGATTCCCCGCCATCCTTAAGTGAGGCCGCCCCTACTCCTAGAGCCACGTACCTGGGCGTCCGGCTGGGCCCCACGACCCCGGCGTCCGGCCCCGCACCGTCTGCTAGAGACGCCGCCAGCTTCGGTGGCCCGAGTGACTTCCAGGCTGCCCACTTCCAAGCCGCTTCGCGCGGAGCCACCTGGGAACTGTAGTTTCGCCCTAGGCGGCAGCAAACTGAAAAACGCCTGGCGCGCAGGTGCCGCGGGAGCGTAGGCGCAGCACCGCGTCGCCTTCTGGGAATGGTAGTCCACCTGTCGCCTCCCCGCCGCTCCAACCTTCAGAGCACTTCCGCAGCCCCCAGCGGAGTGAGGGACAGAGGCATATCTTCTGCAGATTCCAACACGGCTGCCACGCTCCTCACTTCGCGAGGGAGGTTTTTCCCTTTCTTCCAGCCCCGTCCGCCTCCTTCCTTTCGGCGGACCTTCTCCCTCCCTCTCCGCTAGGCGCGAGGTACTTACGCCGAGGACGCGTGCCTGGGGAAAGGCGGGGACAGCACAGCGCTACACTCCCAAAGGAGTGGAGCGGCGGCGAAGGACATCTGTGCGTGTTCGCCGGCCAACTCCGGGTCTAAATTACCGCGGGCCCCGCGGAAGGACTTTTTTTGCCTTTCGAGAGCGAGTGCGCGCGCGCGCGCGGTATCTCGCGCCGGGCTTTTTACTGACGGCTGCGGGCCAGTGCGCAAGCGTGCTCACTCCCCTCGCGGGGTCAGTTCGCCGGGCGCGAGGTGGAAAGGCCAACCGCTGTGTCCACTCTTGTCCTCCCAAGGCATTCCCCAAGGTCGGTCCTCAGGCGCTCCTTCTACGTCTGGTCCTTCACCTAGGAGTTACTAGGTGTGCGGCTTCACACGCCATAGCCGTCCCTTATTACGAGCCCTGTCGCAGGTAATAGGCGCGGCCCGAACTTGAAGAGGCAGACACTGCCTCCTCCCCGGCCACCCGGAGGGCCGGGACGCCCTAACGTGTAGAGAGGGACTCAGGTGTGGTCGCCTTTCCCCCGTTTAGGCAGCTCCAGAGCTTTGCCTTCGAGGGGAGCCTCAGGAACACCACCCAGAGGTCTGCCTGGAGGCCTTGTTATCTACCGTCCATTTGTTGAAAATACATTCTGAGGGAGACTAGTATTTGTTGAGTACCTATGGCCTGTGAAATTTCCTCCAAATTTAGTACACTTGCTCACGTAATCAATAGCTGGACCCTTTAAAAAAAAGGGGGGGGGGGGAGCTTGCTACTCCTACTTCATAAGGGGATTACGGAGGTAATTGGCTGGAACTGCAAGGACCTCTGGTCAAATAAACCCAGTCAGTACCCTTCCCACCCGATCCGTCCTTCCAAGAAGATGATCAATAAGACTTGAAGCTGGGAAGCATACATATCTTCCGGGGAGAGAATGGGGTCATTCATCTGCTCACTCATTAAACAAATGTTTTTAGCACCTATGTCATGCCAGGTTGGGTGATTATGGGGACACAAGAGAAATCGAGACAGACTGGGTTCCTACCCTCAAGGAGCTAAATCCAGTGTGGGTATCAGTCCACCATTGGACAGTGACAATCGAATCGGTACTATTTAATAGAAACATAATCCAAGCTACATATACAACTTTAAATTTTACATTAAAAATTAAAAGGTGAAATTTTAATTTAACCCAATTTATTCAAAATAAGTTATATATAATGAAAAAATTTTAAATTGCTTCAATTTTGAAATTTTAGTTAAATAAAATTAAAACTCCAAGTCCTGGCCGGTGAGGCTAAGTTGGTTGGAACATCGTCTTATACACTGAAAAGTCAAGGATTCAATTCCTGGTCAGGGCACATACACAGGCTGTGGGTTCGTTCAATTCCCTGGGGCCGGGGGGGGGGGGGGGGCGTGGGGGAGGAAATGATCCATATTTTTCACATGGGGGTTTTCCTCTAAAATCAATTTAAAAAAAATTCCTTGGGGGGGATTAAAAAAAAAAAAAAACTCTTAGGGAATAAAAAAAAATTTTATTTTTGGGAAAACAAAAAGGTGGGGAACACCCAAAGTCCATTAAAAAAAAGTTGGGAATTAAAAAAAAGAAAATTTGGGCGGGAAGGGGAGAACATGGAAATGGCAACTTAAGGAAAGAAACAGAAGTTTTTTTATTATTTTGAGGTGGTTTCCCGGGTTAAATGGAAAAAATTCCGAAAAGGATTAAGCATTCTAACATTTTTTTAAAAAAAAAAAGAAATTTTTACAAAAATTCCTTTAGTTTGTGCCAGAAAAAAAGGGTATGAGGAGAACAACCCGGGTTATAATTTTGGGAAGGGGAAAAAAAAAGGGGGGATCCGGGGGGAAAAAAGGGGGGTTTTCTTTTTTCCTTATTTTACCCCCTTAAAAAAAATTTTTGA